TGCATTTCTCATCACAACTCAATTCCCAACAGGCACACCTGGTTGAATTAGTTCCTGTTTCCTCCATGGTACTATCAAACCATCCATTTCGTGCTCGGCATCAGAATGTCAAGAGACGCCCAATCTTACATCACACTGGTATTCAAGCTTTCTTTCAGCGTGCTGTTTGTGAGTGTGTTTTAAATGTTTCTTAAAGTGCAACTTACATGAATTCAAATAAATAAGACATTAAGACAGAACGCTCTACTTCATGGTGATGGGTAAAACATTTACTAATCATTGCGTCTTTGCAAATTTATATATTTATATAAGAATCAACTTAAAGTAGACCAGTGAAAAGGCATCTTTGGGCCACTTCCAATCTAGGAGCTAGAATAATTATCAATGCCACATGTGTATTAATTACTGTTGTTACCTGGAGTATATTCTCACCTTCTTTCTGGTCTCCCTATAACATATGCCATTGATTGCCCAAGGGACGCCCCCCCCCCCCCCACTGCAAATATATCCCGCCCTGCACTGCACTGGAGTTAGTAGACAGCACCCCTAATAGAACAGGGGAGAATAATGATAATAATCGTTGCATTTCATGTAGCGCCTTATCACGTCTTCGAGACGTCTCAAAGCGCATCATAGAATTTACTGTAAAGTGAATTGACTGTATATTTTGTGAGCGAAATGCAGCAGCCAATTACGCACAGCAGTGTGCCACAGTTGTGGATTGAGTGATCAAATTATTTTAATTTATTTTTGAAGGAATTATTACCCCCGGAAAAACAATCTGCCAATCGACTAACAATTGGGTTCCTACTTACCTACGTAGATAAACAGAGGCGTGTGGAGTAAGGAAACTTGCCCAACATTTTGCCCTGCTGGGAATCAAACCCAGGTCCTCTCTCTTGTGAGGCAAGTGCTGTAACCACTGAACTCCAGGACTCCACAGAATGAGAAGTGTCCGAGTGTGTGAGTGAAAGGAATATATTGCCAGAAGCCATTGGGGTTAAAGTTGCAGGGTCACTCAGTGACCTCTACAGGACCCAGTGATCTCCATAAACACTCTGGGGGTCCCCAAGCATTGGCTCTTGCCAACCTGTGCCTAATAATCTCTGAAGCCTTAAAGTAAGCTGGGTTTGTCCCTCCAGAAGAGAGTGTGCACTCCTTTCCAGACACAGGGAATTTTCCATGCCCACGTAGGTGGCATAACACATGGAACTCCCAATCTCGTTTGGGTACTCTTCAGTAGGGCGATGGGTTTCGTTGTGTGTCAGACCAAAACAGTCACCCACAAGCTTAATACAGGAGAATGCGGATCTCACACAGAGGCATACAAGGTTTTACTGCAGCTGCCACAGAGGCAAAGAAACCAGCAAAAAAGGCTACAGTGTGAGAAACTACACCATGGCTTCAGGCGAGGCAGAAAAAGGTGTCCATTTATGTAGTGCATTTACTGTTGTTGCATGAGATTGCTCACAATATGCTGAGACCTCTTCAGTCATAGTTGAAGAGATAACAGGCAACTGGTCAGAATGTGGGAGCTATCAATCGTGGCTCAAAAGATGTCAGCCAATGTGAGTTCAATGTCCTGACATGGGGTTTAAACCCACAACCTTCTGACTCAGAGATGAGAGTGCTACCAGACATTGACACAAGGAGAATTGGAGCAACTTGACTCCATGACCTGGAGGTATCTCTATGTGAGACATTAGAAAGAATAGAGGCTTGAAGGAGTTATGGGGATAAAGCAGGGCAGTGAGATTGAACAAACCATAATACTGCAGGTTTACATCAGTATTGCACAGAATCAAAGTGGACATTACCAAGTTGGACATCACCAAATGTCAGTGAAACCAATCATGTTTTGATAAAGGCACTGTACATAGAAACAGAAAAAGAGAAACAACAACTTGCACTTATACAGCCCTCTCCACTCAGGATAGCGTCTCAGAGCGCTTAATAGTGGCGGAGTTTGACTCCGGACCGATGGGGGGCGGGGGGAAATGGGCATAAGCACGCTTGAAGAGGAAGGTTTTCAGTTGGGACTTGAAAAAGGGGAGGAGGCAAGGTGGAGGGATTGAGGGAGAGTGTTCCAGAGTTTTGGGGCATAGTGGCTGAAAGCGCAGCCTCTGATGGTGGATGGAGGGTGCAATGGACGAGCAGGAAACCGGTGTTAGTCGAGCGGAGGAGCTGGGTGGTGGATTGGGGAGTGAGGAGATCAGAGAGGTAGGGAGGTGTCAGGGAGTGAATGGATTTGAATAAGAGTGTGAGGATCTTTAGAAATGGGCCAGAAGATGAGTCAGGGAGGGAAAGAACTCAGAAAAGAGAAAGGGGAGGCTGGCACTGTGTGAGGAAAGGGAAGGGTTGGTACTGTGCGAGGAGAGAGAAGGGCTGGCACTGTGCAGGGAGAGAGCAGGACTGGTACTGTGTGAGGAGACAGAAGGGCTGGCAACAACAACAACAACAACAACAAGATTCCATTTATAAAGCGCCTTTCACGTCAGGAGGACGTCCCAAGGCGCTGCACAGTTGGGTCATGACCCGAGCAGGGGGAAATGGTCAGGGTGAGGGGAGGGAAGGGAGGGAGCGAGGAGGGGGGAAATGGTCAGGGTGAGGGGAGGAAGGGAGGGAGCGAGGAGGGGGAAGAGAGTCGAGAGGGGAGCTGAAGGCTCGGTCAAAGAGAAAGGTTTTGAGACCGGCCTTGAAGGAGGAAAGGGAGGAAGCAAGGCGAAGGCACTGGGGGATGGAGTTCCAGAGCCTGGGGGCTGAGAGGCTGAAGGCCCGACCACCGATGGTAGGGCGGTTGGGGCGGGGGACGTGGAGCAGACCGGAGCCAGAGGAACGGAGGGTACGGGCAGGTAGGTAGGGGGATAGTAGGTCGGAGAGGTAGGAGGGAGCAAGGCCGTGAATGGCCTTGTAGGTGAGGATGAGGATCTTGAAATCAATCCTCTGGGGGATGGGGAGCCAGTGGAGGCGAGCGAGGGTGGGAGTGATGTGGTCCCGAAACCTGGTGCGGGACAGTACACGAGCTGCAGAGTTCTGAATGACCTGCAGCTTGTGGAGGGAGGTGGCGGGAAGGCCGGCGAGGAGAGAGTTCCCATAGTCCAGCCTTGAGGTGACAAAGGCGTGAACCAGAGTTTCAGCAGCGTGAGGGGTGAGGTAATGCCGTAGTCTGGCGATGTTCCGGAGGTGATGGAAGGCGGTGCCAGTTGTGGTGCGGATGTGAGGGAGAAAGGACAGCTCAGGGTCGAACAGAACACCGAGGTTCCTGACTGGCTTTGAGAGGTGGAGAGTGCAGCCTGACAAAGGGTCGTGGACCCGAAACGTTGACTCACTTTCCTTCCTCCATGGATGCTGCCTGATCTGCTGAGTGTTCCCAGGGACTTCTGTTTTTGTTTCAGATTTCCAGCATCTGCAGTATTTTGCATTTAGGAAATTAGATGGTTGGGATGGTCAAAAATTAAGAGCTGGCACTGATCTTTATAGCTCTCAATTGCATCAAAATGTCTCAAAGCTCTTCACGAGTAAATACTGTTGACTGTAATTGCCTCAATTCACAGTCTGCCATTGTTTTTACCCGTTTTCGAATCATAGAATTATAGAGCACAGAAGGAGGCCATTCGGCCCATTGTGTCTGTGCCGGCTCTTTGGAAAGAGCTGTCCAAATCAATCCCACTTCCCCCCGACCCCCCGCCCCCCCTCATAGCCCTGCAAACTTGTCCTCCCCAAATAATTATCTATTTCTGTCTTAAAAGTTGTTATCAAATCGGCTTCCGCCACCCTTTCAGGCAATGCATTCCAGTTGTTATAAAACATAACATTTTATCTCCAGAATCTCTACCACTGAATCAAATCACATAGTGATACAGCAAAGACACAAGCCCTTCGGCCCAACTCGTCCACACTAGTCTTTATACTCCATACAAGCCTCCACCCTTCTTATTCCCCTCATTTATACTACTCAATTCCCTTCTCCCTCGTGTATGCCCGTTTGAGTTTCTTTTGGACAGTGATTTGATTAAATTTTTTCCTGATTCTACAGGGTGTCCACAAAGTCCTCTTACCCCTCCGCCCTGGTTACAAAACAGAGCTATGAGACTACGGAGGAGCTGAAACAAGCTGTCAGGGAAAACTTTGCCTCGTCCCTCCATCATGTTATGGAAAATTTCACACCGATCATTGTAACGGATCATTATCTGCCATGAAAATGCTCACCCCGATCCTCCTGACGTCTAAATACAGTTAAACACTTGTACTGAACACAATTAAGTACTTCTAAATATGATTAGCATCCATTCTGCCAGTTGCTGGTCAGTGCACAGGAGGGGGAAAAGGGAAAAAAAATAATAAGACTTTGTGGACACTCTGTACATTACTGTTGTGGGACTTTCAACATTCTGGAGATCTACAACTCTTTCTCATTATTTATTATTACAGTATTCCTCCTCCACCCACCCACTCTTTGTGATTTCCTCCTGCACATCCTTGCCTCAATGCTCCATGTCCAAGCTTCTCTCTACCCCCTCCTCCTGCCCCTTCCCCTTCCCCAGGAACAGTGAGAAAAATAGTTAAATATTCAAACCCAATAAATAATCAACCAAATCATCTCAGCCTTTCAACCTAAGAGAACAGATTCAAAAGCCTTTCTGAACTGAAAAGCCAAAGCATCGTTGCTTCTTGTCAGACTTCAAATAAACCCTGTTGGTCTACCTTCCACAACTGGAGGCGAAGTGGAGATGGTATTGAGGTTTGACAGCCAGCTGGACATCCCCCTTTCACTGTGATTCAGGAGAAGTGTTGATAAAGGAGCAAGAGTTTTAATTCAGTTTGGAAGCCACAGTGACAGAGTTTCTCTCATAAGCTGCGGAAACCTTCCCTACGTTCTGAGCATTTCTACCTGAAGCAGGTGTAAGCTGAAGAACTCCAGACTGAGAGTCTCACATGGACCTGATATCTCCTTTTCTGAGAAGACATTTGTGTCCTGAACATGTCTGACTCCAGGAGCGACACCAGTAATCCTCAGGGTGGGTGGGTGGAAGTGATAATTAACAACAGTGTTGATAAGCAGTAGCTGGAGCCAATTCTCGCTCTATGGTCCCACTGTTGAACATCCACCAAGAGAGGGGGACAGGGAGACACGCACACACACACACACATATCGCAAGGCTGACTTGACTCCCAGTGTGGGCCTCCTCAAACTTGCAAGATGCCATACTCCATTGCCTCCCTGCATGTGAAGAACGAATCCCACAGCACACCTTTCACACGCAACCACGAGGTTGGCCTACATTTCACTCTTTTTACACAAAGCTTTTCTCCTCCGAGGATTTCAACGGCAATTATTTTAAACCCAATGGGACCAACGATTCACCAAGGTTCTTCATCCCGATCTAGGACTGTTTTGAATGATAACGCCTCCATTTCGGGCTCTTGGGTCCCATTCCCTCCTTCTTTCCCCCCTCCTCCCCCACCCCCACACAAAACCGTTCCAATTTTTACGCCGCAAAAGTAAATTCAATTCCGTTGGCGCTTCTAACCCTGACCCACCGGCCGGTGGCTTTCAGCCCGCGAGCCTGGAGTAGTCTAAGAGATTCATCGCCGGCCAGCAAATCTCCTCAATCGTGTGGATGTCTTTGCGAGACATTTTCTCCCTCCAGCTGTTAATGCTGACGGGCGACACCTCCCCCTCGAAGGGCAGGTGGTAGAGATTGGTGGTGGTGGCAAACAGCACCTTGTTAAGGACCGCGGGTGGCAGAGGGAAGCCCAGGAAGGCATAGATCTTCTCCGCCGTATCTTGTGGGAAGTGCACCAGGTCTTCGAACTTCAGCATGTGAAGACTGGCAGGGGGCAACTTACGGTTTATCCTGAGGCTGGCTCTTGTGTTGGCCAGCCACAGGTGAGCCAGGAGGGACACCGCTGTCTTGCCAGGTGACGTCAACTCCCTCCGCAGCTCCTCGTACTCTGAGGCATAGCCTGAGTCCTTGTCACATCGCTCCTGCTCGCTCCCTTGCTGGAACAGCAAGGCCAGGTGCTGGGGGATGTTCCTCAGCGCATACAGACTAGGCTTGCTGCTGTACAATAATGAGTAGATCCAGGCTCTGGGGTCTCTCACCACGTACAAGGCCTTCATCAGAGGCCCCACCACCCCCTGCACAAAAGGCAGCTTCAGGGTCCAGCTCCCGCTGCTTAAGCTAAGCACCACCCGCGCATTGGGGTACTTGGCCAGATGTCTCCTCAGTTCCCTGATGTTCTCTGCGTCCCTCTCCGCACCCCCGGCTGCGGACTCATGGCCCAGACCCGGGACTGGGGGCTTCTTCCGCCTGGGCTTCCACTTCCTGTCGCCCCCGGGCCCTAATGCCCCAAAGCCCCCTCTGCCAACCTCGTGCAGCTGGATGTCCTGCAGGTGGAGCTTGGTGTTGTGCAGCAGGGACTGCAGCCAGCCCTGGATCAGCCGGTACCTCCCCTCCTGAGCCTCTGAGAGACGCCACTCGCAGGCGTCCACAAAGGAGTCGAAGTCGAACTCCACCTCGGGCATGTCCAAGTGCTCGGTGGGAACTCGCATGTAGACAAAGTCTGTGCTGTTGGTGAAGAGTTGGGTCAGGATCTCTGCCCCGGAGCCCGGGAGCGAGGTGATCACCAGGGGCGAGAAGGCAGCCAAACGTTCGTCCCACTGTCCGGGCTGGGCCTCGGGCTGGGGCTGGGGTTGCTCGGGTTCCCAGTTGACGCCGCACAGGGGCCGGGGGGAGCAGCTGCTCCACACGACTGCCAGCTCCACAAACCACAGGGCGATGAGCAGGAGGAGGGCCAGGTGCAGCAGCTTCCCGGAGGACACGCGAAGCCTCCAGCGGGCGGCCAGCAACCCCAGGCCCGCGCAGGCCGCCACCCCCAACAAGGCCTTGGCAGTCCAACCGAAACGGAAGAAGACGCCCGCTGCCCTCTGGCTGGCTCGTCCTTCCCCGTCCCCACCCCCAGGCCAAATCGGGTGGTCACCCCGCCCGCCTCCTCCACCTTGGCGTATCCGCCGAAGCCCAAGTAGGTGAACCGGGCGGCTGGGTCACTGTGCTGTGTGGCCACCCACACCACTGTCTTTGTGTCATTGACGGTCAGCGCTACCCGGACCCCGTGCTCGCTGTCGTCCACGAAGCGCAGGTTGGTGACCTTGACCCGGGGTCCGTGGAAGACATAGGCCACGCGGGTCAGGGGTCCAGCCAGGGGGAAGGTCACGTTGACAAACTGGGTCCATCTCTTCTTGAACTCAGCTGCCTGCTCGGCTTCTTGGATGCTGGCGGCCGGGCTGTTGCCCCGTTGATCGAGCCAGAACATCTTGTACTGCGCATCCCACACGTCCATCATGGCGCCTCTCAACCGGCCGCCACTTGCACCCCCCTTCTCCCCTCCTCCTCCGTAAGGCACGTACTTGAAGTCGATGTCGAGGTTGTGGAAAAAGGCACTGACCAGCTGGGCGGGCGAGCCCTGGCTCCGCTCCACATGATCAATGACCAGCAGCGTCTGGGGGTTCAGGAGGACCAGAGCGCGGTAAACGCTTTTTAGTCGCAGAGCAGAGGAGTAGGACGAGGAGGCCTCACCACTGACGAACATCATTTGGCCAAGCTGCGAGGCGGACACCAGCTCCCCTGCCGAGTCCCCAGCCTCCCCAGCCGTCCACCGCAGCCACTGCCCGCACTCACCCAGCTGCCCCTCCCAGGGCTGGTTGCATTGGCTGGTAGGAGAGGGGGCAAACACCAGCACGTTGTTGAGGTAGCTGTACTTGGGGCCGTACAGAGCCTCAGACACAAACACCTGCCCATTGGGAGCGAAGGTGAATGAGTTCTGATCCGGGTGCTCGTGCCCTGGGTTGAAGTTCCTCCAGCCGTCGATCCAGGAGTAAGTGGCGGAGTGGACGATGTCGTACACGGCTCGCCCGCCCAGCTTCCCTGACTTGAAGGACACAAAGGTGTTGTCTGGGGTGTTGGGCAGTCCGCCCCCGTAGGTGGCCACCCCCCAGTTGGGGAAGACGTGCAGCTGTGGGGTGCCGTAGCCGGTGGGGGGCTGTGGGGTCAGCTGGGGGTCGTACCAGATGTACTCGGTGTGGAGGGTGCACCACCTCTGGGCACTGGAGGGCTCCATTGGACCATCTTTAGGCCTGTGCTTCCTGATCTGCTTGGCCAGCCAGTTGCCGTTGCCATTCCTGAGCACGTATCTGTAAGGCAAGAGCGAAAGGCAGGTCTGTAAGGTCTCCGTCACTGAAACCAAGGGGTGACAAGTGGGTAGCTTGGGGTCTGTTAATTAATGCGGGTGCCAGTAAATTGATTAATTAATTACAAACTCCTAGTAACTCGTCACTCCAATGGAAAAGGTCTCAGTGACAAGTTATCTGGAGTGGTGAGTTAGGCATATCCATAAATAAATGTGGCCAGGATACTGATAGCGTGATGAGTTAAGTGGTAGTGATAAATTAAGCCAGAGTTATCGGGAGTTTACTATACTTAAATCCGGGTTTAAATCCTGCTCCTTATTTCTATTTACCCCCAAATTCAAATTAATTGGCTACACACCGTTCTGTTGATTAAAATCTGTGGCTCAAAATTATATTTGATAAACCTCGTACTCCGAGGCATAGCCTGAGTCCTCGTCACATCGCTCCTGTTCGCTCCCTTGCTGAAACAGCAAGGCCAGGTGCTGGGGGATGTTCCTCAGCGCGTACAGGCTAGACTTGCTGCTGTACAATAATGAGTAGATCCAGGCTCTGGGGTCTCTCACCACATACAAGGCCTTCATCAGAGTCCCCATCACCTGCACAAAAGGCAGCTTCAGGGTCCAGCTCCTGCTGCTTAAGCTAAGCACCACCCGCACGTTGGGGTACTTCCTCAGTTCCCTGATGTTCCCTGCGTCTCTCTCCGCACCCCCGGCTGCGGACTTATATTTTATAAACCATTTTTGGATTCTTATTTTTCCAAGAAAGGTGCTATATTAGGTGTGAACCTGGCTCAATTGGTACCACTCTACCCTGTGACTCAGAAGACTGTAGGTTCAAGCCCCCTATTGGGACTTTAAATTTACAAGTCTGGGTTAATATATTCCAGTTTAGTTCTGGGGTGTATGTTTGCATTGTTGAAAGTGCTGTTAAAGATTCCATAGTACTATTTGAAAAGAAAAGTGAGTCTCCAACCTAACCCTAGTGTCTTGCCAACAATTTCCCCAAGTGAAGTGAAGGACCTTCAGGGCTATTTGTGTGATATACTGAGTGCAAAGGGTCCTCCATGTTCATCTACAAAATACACAGTCACTACACTTTACAGTCTATCTTGCGAAGTGCTTTGAGACATCCTTCCAACGGAAAGGCACAATATCAAAAGCGAGGATTATTATTATTGTTAGAGTTTAAACATTTTCCACAATGCTGCACGATGTTTCATTTTAGACTAAATGATCTTACAGATAAAGACTAGGTGGAATTTCAGGCCTGTGGCACTAACATTATCTAAACCGCTGACTAATTTATATATACCAGTGAACATTCCCTCCCCAGCTTTGTTCGTTTCATAATATAAACCTCAGGCTTCTCTGTGAAGCACAGAAAAAACCTTTTCTCCACAGACCGATAAAAACTTCCTGATCTGGTGCGTGATAAGCTATCATTTTCTCCAGTGTTAATTAAGGAACAGACTGCGGAATGGCATTAAGTTGAACCCCGTGTTCACTGAAACCCGATGGCTGATGTTACAATTGTCACTGAGTGTAACAAGTACAGTATTTGACATTGAGCATTGGGAATGGTACTGTAACCAGACACTGTCAAAGCCACACTTATCAGCAAGGATGCTACTTCTCCTTCATCCAAGGATGTTCCTAAAACAGTAACTCCCGCTATACACTAATTGTAACGGATTTTTAACGTTCTATTCAGATCAGATCAGCCCAAAGGTGCAAAAATAATAATAATCCTTCTGCCACTCTGCCTCTGGAACTCCATCCCGCAGTCCCTCAGCCTTGCCCCCTCCCTTGCCTCCTTCAAAACACATCTCAAGACCCTCCTCTTCGACCGTGCTTTCGATCACCCTGCTTTCCCCCCCCTGCCCTCCACCCTCCCCAATCCCAACCCCCAGCTCGGATCCGAAAATCTGAATGTCCAGTGCCTTGGGATGTCCTCCCAACGTGAAAGGCGCTTTACAAATGTAATTTTGTTGTTGTTGTTGTTTAATCCTTGCAAACACTATACATTAAAGGCACTATTCTAAGGTGTTGTGGCTTGCTGTTGAGTATGTAAAATTCCGAGCTGAGTCCCTGGCATCATTGTGGTCTGAAGAGAAAATAAAGTGCTTGTCGACTGCCACCTGATAATAGCAATACTGACTGCTAAAACTATGGCTCGCTCTCAATAAATTGTTCTTTATTATGCAACGGTCCATAGAGGTGGGGATAAATAGCTTTAACTTGCATTAGCTTTCAAACAGGCTGCACTTATATGGAGCCTTTCACTCAGACCGAGATGGGCAATCTCCAAAAAAAAACTTAAAAGGCAGTCTTAAGTGAGAAGGACTATTTTTTTATGTGCTGAATGACAGAACATGCCCTTTCAGACCATGGGCTCCTCCACCCCTATCCTGACTGAGTGCTCATTACAGCTCTTCCCATCTCATCACCAGCTAGCAAAACTCTCATCCACTCAATTCAATATTTCAAAGATAATAATAAAAAAATTCTTGCATTCGATCCACGCCTTGTCACGTCATCCAGACGTCTTAAAGTGCCTCACAGATTTTATTGGGAAGTGGAGTCGCTCTATTTGTGGCAAACATAGCAGTCAATTTGTAAATAGTAATGTCGCACAAACAGTCGTAAAGTCAATGACCAATTTTATCTGGCGAATTGTTTGGCCAGGGCATCAGGAAAAACTCCCTTCTCTTTTCAAACAGTGCAATGAATCTTTAAAATCCACCTGAACGGGCAAACAGGACCTCAGTTTAACATCACTTCCAAAAGACAGCACCTCAAGCAATGCAGCACTGCCCCAGCTCTACATTGGAGCTTTGTTGAGACTACATGAGTTCAAAGACCAGATATGGGTGTTCAAACCTGAACTCATAACCTTCTGACTAGAAGGTAAGAGTTCTACCAACTGAGCCAGGCTGACACACATTCTACAATACGTTCTGACCTCCCTGTCTTTATCCTTCACAAACTTTATCCAAAACTCTTCAGCCCGAGTCCTCACTCGATGATATCTTGTATTTGTGTGTTGGTTTGGTTCAGTCAATAGCTCTCAGCCTTTAGGTTACAAGGTTACGATTTCAAACTGGGACTTGAGCTTATAGTCTTCGCTGGGGCAACGCTGACATTTCATGCTTCAAATACAATCATCCACGTGTTTGATATAATACCTTATCACATCAAAACATCCCAAAACATTTCACATTTTCAGTGTAAAGTGCAGTGACTGTGTATTTATAGACGAACGTGGCAGCTAATTTGTACACAGCAACAGCCCCGAAATGAATCATCAATTTATCTGGGGGATTGTGGCAGGACACTGGGAGGAAATCTCCTGTTTCTGAAGATTGCCATTAGATCATTAAAATTGCCTTAAACAGGCAAGCAGGACGTCATCTTAACATCTCAACGAAAGGACAGCACTTCCCCAGCCCTGCACTAGAGTGTCAGCCTGGATCATGAGCTGAAACTCCTGACTGAGGGGGAAAGAAGGGGTGACCCCACAATCTACTCATTTAGAGACGAGATTGCTACCAACTGAGCCGGGGTGACAATGACAGATATTATACCTAACCGAGGTAATAAATCATCTTCTTGTCAGGTGACTGTCAAAGGCTATCAACGCTGTTTGAAAAGGGAAGGTTGTTTCTCTAGGTGTCCTGACCAAATCCTCCGGATTAATTGGTTATTTTCCTCAAAGTTGTTTGTCGGTCTTTGCTGTGTACTATATGACTGCTGTGTTTTGCCTTTTACGATAAAAAAACAGCCTTCTAACTTGAAAGGCAAGGATACAACCAACCGGGGCAGACCAGCTCAGTTTTTCAGTATACTGTCCCGCACCAGGCTTCGCGACCACATCACTCCCACCCTCGCTCGCCTCCACTGGCTCCCCATCCCCCAGAGGATCAAATTCAAGATCCTCATCCTCACCTACAAGGCCATTCACGGCCTCGCTCCCTCCTACCTCTCCGACCTACTATCCCCCCACGTACCTGCCTGTACCCTCCGTTCCACTGGCTCCGGTCTGCTCCACATCCCCCGCCCCAACAGCCCTACCATCGGTGGCCGGACCTTCAGCCTCTCAGCCCCCAGGCTCTGGAACTCCATCCCCCAGTGCCTTCGCCGCCTCCCCCCTTTCCTCCTTCAAGGCCGGTCTCAAGACCTTTCTCTTTGACCGTGCCTTCAGCTCTCGACTCTCTATTCCCTCCTCGCTCCCTCCCTTCCCTCCCCTCACCCTGACCATTTCCCCCCTGCTCGGGTCCCGACCCAACTGTCCAGCGCCTTGGGACGTCCTCCCGACGTGAAAGGTGCTCTATAAATGCAATCTTGTTGTTGTTATTTTTGTACAGTGGGATATTCTGTGGATTGCTCACAAATTTCTGCAATTTGGAATGAGTAACGCAATGGAAGAAATAGTTCAGGCAATGACAGGTTAAAGTCTGGGGTCGGTGAATAAACGACATAAGAAAGTCTATTTGGAAACATAATTAACTGCTACAAGTCCCGACATTATTAAAGGAAATTGAACAAAAAGTGAAGTGGAATTGCTCCGAGCAAACAGCATTATTTTAGCTGTCTTAAATCAATGTAAATTGTTATTGTTGTGTTAAAGGGGCGAGGTCTTAATAAAAAAGTGTCTGCCAAACTTCTGAGTCGTGGGAAGGGTGAAGAGCTGGACGTCATTTTGTGTAAGCTATGTAATCAAACATTGCAACAGCACTGAAATGTTACATTGCAAATGGAAATAAAAGTCTGCCAAATGCTTTTTCATGAAACATTGCCCCTTTAAAAAGAGGCAGAGACCATCAAGAACTTGCATTGATATACTGTTTGGCCATATATGTGATAGAGCTTCAAAAGCCTCAATAGCTCAATTAATGAAAGTGCTTTTAAGTGCCTTTAAGTGCACTCAAGCTGTGGGTGGGGCTGAGGGGATGGACACGAAGTGGGTAAATATGGCCGAAAGAGCAGTAAAAGAGGATTTACCTACTTTTCAAATGAGCCTATGGTCACCTATCCCTCCCACCTGCCTTACTCCATTTCTACCAGTGTACAGTGCTCCAAGACACTGCCCTGCACTATATCAATGCAAGTTTTTGTGGGTATTGTCATCTCTGAATGTCCTAGACAAGGCTGAAAAGGAAGGTTTTTAGTTGTGACCTGAAGTTTAGGAAGGGGCAAAGGCGGTATGATAGAGGAAGAGTGTTCCAATGTTTCGGCTAGTGGCTAAAAGCGCAGTCGCCAATGGTGGAATGGAGGGCACTATGGACATGCAGAAGGGAGTTGAGTGGAGGCAGCAGGTTGTGGGGGTACTGAGGTGCCAGGGAATCAAAGGGATTTGAAAACAAGTGTGAGGATCTTGAAATCAATCCGCTTGGCGATAGGTAGCAAGTGAAGCCTGGCTATAACTGGCGTGATGGGGGTGCTGAGTTTAGTGCCAGTAAGTATGCGGGCAGCAGAGATTTGGATCAGCTGGATCCTGTGCATGGTGGAGCTGAGGAGACCGGCGAAGACGGCATTTGAAAAGTCAAGTCGGGAGGTAACGAATGCATGGACGAGTGGTTTGGCTGCCTTTGGGGTAAGGTATGGTTGGAGGCGGGCAATGTGGTGGAGTTGAAAGAAGGAGGTCCTGGTTAGGGACCGAATGTGGGGAAGGAAAAACAGCTGTGGGTCGACCTGACACCGTTGCACAATGGTTTGGTAAGTCTGAGGGATAGGCCGGGAGGTTGAGGAGGTCAGAGCCACAGGATAGAAGACGTTGGTAGAAGCCAATAAATATGGCTTCCGTCTTGTCAAAAACATTTAGTTGTAGGAAGTTTTTGCTCATCCAGGCCCTCCACCCCTCCTGATCCCAAGCTCCTGCTCGGGTCGGAATCCCTGACTGTCCTGCACCTTAGAACGTCCTTCTGGCATTAAAGGCACTATACAAATGCAATTGATTGTTATTGTTGTTGAAATACTGCATTCCTGGAGCTTGGCTGCTCAGCAATGCAGAGATTTACAAAGAAAGAGAAAATAAAAGCAGCCATACGTTTTGACATTTCTGTTTTTCTGTTGCCTGAGGACAGACAGCCATCAAGTGAACAATACCATCTGGGCCACAAGAGACTGATTGCCCTCAAAACACAAAGCAAAATTCAAGTGTGTGTTTAAAATCAGGACCTGAAACTTGCTGCTAAATGGCGTGATATAATTTTTGCCTGAGAATCAAAAGGCTGTGGGTTCAAGTCTTCTTTCAGGACTTTGAGCTCACAGTCTAGACTGACACCCTAATGCTATAGTGTTTTATGCATTTTGAAGGCAAATATGGCAGCAAATTTGCACGTAGCAATGTCCCGGATATAGCCAGGAAGTGAATAACCAATATTTTATCAAGAGCCAGGACTCTTTCTGAATAGTGCTATGGGATGTTTAACGTCTCCCTGAAAAGCCACACAAACTTTGCTTTATTGCCTCTGAGGACCAGAGAGCAATGTTCTGTATTTATGTAATGTTATCTATACAGATTATTACACTATGAGCTAGAGTGAGTTAGATATTATTAAAGAATAATAAACCTTATCACCTCGTCGCGATAAGTGCTTCACAAGATATGTGTGGGCAAATGCAGAACCAGCTTGCACCCAGCAATGTTCTAACAACAGCCAAGGAGTGATTGAACAATGTTATTTGGTGAATTGTTGGCCAGGACTCTCAGAGAAACTCCCTCCTCTTTTTGAATAGAACCATGGCATCTTTAACATCCACCTGTACAGGCAGACAGGACCTCGGTTTAACGTCTCGTCTGAAGTTTTAATAATAATAATCCCTGCATTTGATATAGTGCTTTTCATGTCTTCTTGATGTCTCAAAGTGCTTCACAGAATATACTGTAAAGTGAATTGACTGTATATTTGTGGGTGAAACGAGGCAGCCAATTGCACACAGCAGTGGCCCACAAACAGTCGTGGATTGAAGTGGCCAATTTATTATTGTTTTTTTCTTGAGGGATTATTATCAGGCGTGTGGAGTAAGGAAACTTGCCCAAGGTTTCGCCCTGCCAGGAATCAAACCCTCGCTTGCGAGGCGAGTGCTCTAACCACTGAGCTACAGGGCTCCACAAAACAGCACTTCCGTCAGACCATGAGTTCAAAGGACCCAAATCCTTCTGGAATTTGGGTCAGAACCAAGAAGCAAGAGCTCTACTAAGCAGTCACCCAGCTGTGCTTTGCCGTTGTGAATGTGTTCAGAGAACCTCCTCAGCATATTTTTCTTATGATAAATACTGAACGTACCAATAAACTGACTCCCTTATGATCTCTACCCACTCATCGCCCCCCACCCCAAACAAGTCTGACACCACTCACTGTTGAGGTTCAGGCACAATGTCTCCTTGGGGGAACAATACCAGTGAACCCTTATCCAGGAGGAGTCATTACCTTCAGGATATGATACTGCAACTGATATGGAGAAATGCAAATTGCTGTCAGGTCACCACTCTTCCGTTTCACATTGCTGCTGGTTAACCCCTGACTGAGTATCTCAGATAAAATGCCCGGCCCTGATTCATTTGTATTTGTACAAGTTTTAAATATTAATTATGCATACGCAGTGTAGATTATTGATTAAATTGGATTTTATATGATTTATACAGTTTGCCTGCAACTCGGACTTTGCGTAAGTCATTCAATGTTATGGTCTCGACTGATACGACCTATGTGAGTTTTACTGTACAGGGTGTCCACAAAATCCTGTTATTCCTGTTCCTTCACCCAAGATCATTATCTGCCATGAAAATGAAGGCGCCTCGCACCCACCGATCCTCTGGACATCTAAGTACAGTTAAACACTTGTACTGAATACAATTAAGTACAGTACATTTAAATACAATTATCATCCATTCTTCCACATGTTACAGTTGTTGGTCAGTTGTAGAAGAAAAACAAGAAAGGGTAACAGGAGTTTGTGAACACTCTGTAGTTGGGAAGGTATGTAGGTAAGTGGGTGGGTGGTGAACTTATTTACAAACCTGTCTAGGAAAACCAGCTGGCTCTCTGGCCCATAAAACCAGTTGTAGTTGGAGTCTGCGATGCCCACGCTTCTCTGAAACCCTGGCAGGACTGTGGCATAGTAAAACCAAAAGTGTTGCTTGAGCCAGGGGCTTGCAGTGTGGTTCAAGTGGAAGTGCCTGAGGGCTAGGAAGACGTATTGGGTGATGGACTTGGAAGTGTAGCTGCCATAAGCCACCCCTTCATCCAGGGAACCGTCCACCACATGGTCCAGCAAGAAGAGGGTCTTCTCCATCACGTCGATAGCCACTTGCTTGCAGAGCAGTGAGCTCTGGGGGTGGTGAGGAGCCAGGACTAGAGCTCCCACCAGCAAAGCCAAGGTGTTGGTGGTCTGATGGTTGTGCAGGAAGTGCTTGCCCCACGCCCTGTACTTGGAGAAGCCGTACAGCTCCATGGTGACTGAGCGGATCTTCTCCAGGTAGCTGGCCCGCCTGGCCTCATCCAGCCAAGGGTAGAGGAAGTCGAAAGCGGTGGCAAAACCAGTGAGCGAGTGAGCCACGGGCACCTCATCGTTGGGCGCGTCGCGGACCTGCCATCGCGGGTAGGCAGCCATCTTGTCCATGTACTGCAGGGCCAGGCGCCAGGCCGCATTGTCCTCAGGGCTCAGCAGGCAGTGCAGCGCCAGGGCGCCAAGGTTGTTGCCGTAAACCTCGTTCCACTTGGCGGCGAAGAGCTGCGGGTCGTCCGGGGGCAGGTAGAGGGTGGGTTTGGCCACCATGTCCCTGGCTGCGCTCCTCAGGGCCTTGCTGAGATGGGAGTGGCTGCCCCGCGCCTTCTGCCTCAGGCTGCCCACCTCCCCCGGGGGGAAGTAGAGGAGGGGGTGAGGGGGCTCGGCCCGCGGGGAACCGCTCTGCTGCTGCTGATCCTCCGAGAAGCCGCTTCGCTCCCAATAAACGTCACCCTGTTGGTGGTAAAGGTCGCCACCTGGTTGGTGGTGGTGGTGGTGATGGACGCCAACACCATGGTCACTGTCCTCCTCAGCCCATCCTCTCACCAACAGCAACAAGATGGGTATCAATATATTCCTCTGCGCCATGTTACTTTACTGTACTTACATTTCTTAACTTTGTTTCTTTCTTTCCTTCTTTCCTTCTTTCTTTCTTTCTTTCTTTCTTTCCTTCTTTCCTTCTTTTGACTTTTGGAGGAAAAACAAGGTTTTGCTTCTCTTCTCGCTTATTTCTTAACTTTTTCTTTCTTCTCTTATTTTGGAGGCAAAAACAAGTGTCTTCATTTTTCTCTCTCTCCTCTTAACGTTTGGACGCAAAAATGAGTGTGTCAGTGGCTGAGAATGTAGTGAGTGTGTCAGTGGGTGGGAGTGTAGTGAGTGTGTCAGTGACTGAGTGTAGTGAGTGTGTCAATGGGTGAGAGTGCAGTGAGTGTGTCAGTGAGAGTGTAGTGAGTGTGTCAGTGGCTGAATGTAGTGTGTGTCAATGGGTGAGAGTGGAGTGAGTGTGTCAGTGGCTGAGAGTGGAGTGAGTGTGTCAGTGAGTGAGAGTGGAGTGAGTGTGTCAGTGAGTGGACAGTGAATGAAGTCAGATCACCACCTCTCGGGCTTCTCGAGTTACCAACGTGCAAACGAAGCTGACTTTCTGGGAGAAGAAGAAGGAGGAGAAGGAGAGGAGAAGGAGGAAGGGTTGTTTTTTTGTTTTGACACTGTTGGAGAGAGAGAGACAGTCACACACACACACACACACACAGACACACGAGCCTCAGCAGTGTGTCTTGTCCACGTTTCCAGTAAAAGCAGCAAAAACCCACGATTTTCAAGAAGCAAAGCAGAAATCCACGTTTCCAGCAAAAAAAAAACTTTTTACCTTCAAAAAGTTTCTTGCAAGATCTTCACTGCTGGTTGTTCGCCCATCGCACAGGACAGGATATAAAGCACTGCTGAATGCCTTATCTCTCTTCTCTCTGAGTCTCTGTCACTCTCTGAGTGATCCACTCCTATCACTCCAGCCTTATGTTTTCATCTTAAAAAATCTAAGCACATTCACACACACACACACACATCTCTCTCTCTCTCTCTCTCTCTATATATATATTTATATGATTTGATATCACAGACCCTAAAACGAAAAAGCTCCACAATTTAAACCAGATTTGCCAATTTCCCTTAAGAAAATCTGAATTGTTTTTTTTTCCCCCACACACACAAACACACACACACACAAACACACCCTTAACTGAACAAAATAGTCCTCTCCTCTGTCACACAGACAGACACAGACAACACACAACGCACAACGCAACACAAGTCCCTTTTCACCCAAACAGTGAGACAGAGACAGCAGTGAGTGAGAGAGAGAGAGAGAGAGAGAGAGTGTGTGGGAGGGAGAGAGGGAGGGAGGGAGTGTGGAAGGGAGAGAGGGAGGGAGAGAGAAGGAGTGTAGGGACCAATGGAAGAAATCTACAAGGTTTCACATTTCAAAGCCCTCCAACTTTTCCAACTTCCGTCTGTGAAGTCGCACAACACACACTGACACACACACTGACACTCACTGACTCTCACTGACACTCACACGCGAAAAAAAAACTTTTTCTTCACATAGAAAAGAAGGGAAGAAACGCGATGATCTCCATCGTCCTGAGGAAAAGCTTCTGATCTGTGTCTGTGTGTCTGTGTCTGTGTCTCCTCCTCCTCCTCCTCTCAGGTCCAGTGGCTCAGACTTCTGAGATCCATCTGTGATGCTCAGCCCTCAGTTCCTTTGTATTTTTTCCCACCCCCCACCCCAGTGGGAGTTGGGTTTTTATATTGTTTGCTTTCTTAGATTATTGTGGGTGTAAATCTTCTTGAAACACTTGAGAATTTCCTCTTGCCCCCCTTTAAAGTTAACTGGATGGCTTTCCTCCCTGCAATTTTTGCCACAATCCACACAACAACACAAAAATAATGATGACTTTGGAGCATCCCCTTTGCTCTGATAATGTCAATTCCATCTGCTGCAGTTTGCACAGCCCACAGGCAATCCGATGCTGACTCGGTTACTGGGTGTGATTAAACCACACGATGGTGGGGTGTTTTTTTTTCTCTCCCGTGTGTGTGTGTGTGTGTGTGTGTGTGTATGTGCTGTTCTTGGTTTTAACAGAGGAAGTCCAGGGAAAGCGAGAGAGGGCGCTGCAAAGTATATAGTGCTGCTTTTCTGAAAGCAACAGCCAACAGCAGGGATCGAACCCTCCAGTCAGGCTACGTGTAATGTTTCATTTAAAAGAAATGGGCACCCTGTTAATCCCCACCAAACGCACAGTCACTCCACCTTTTCAGTACGCTCCTTGAAGCGCTTTGAGACGTCTCTCTCGAAGACGCGATCAGGCCCTGTCACAAATGCGAGGGTTACTACCTTTATTATTTTCTTTGCGTCGAATGTATTTCTTTTAAATCACCGTAGGTTTAACTTCGATATACAAAATTGTGCTGTTGTAATCATAATACTCCTTGCGTTTGATACGGCGCCTTATCGCTTCTCACGAAACGCCTCAAAAGCGCTTCGGAGAATATGTTGTAAAGTGAATTGATTGTGTATTTTGTGGGCGTAAAACGCGGCAGCCAATTGCGCACAGCAGCGTTGCACAAACAGTCAGGGATTGAGTGACCTCATTATTTTTTTGGGAGGGATTATTACCCCCGGAAAGCCATCCATGACTAACAATCTGGTTCCTACTTACCTCTAGCTAGTGTGGAGTAAGGAACCTTGCTTAAGGTTTCACCCTGCCCAGGTCCTCTCGCTTGCGAGGCGAGCACACTAACCACTGCGCTACAGGACTGCAGTGATTATCACCACTGCAATATATTTGTTAGCTTGTCAGTTGTATTGGAGACTGTGGACAGGGGAGAAGGTGATCATAAGCACAGTTGAAAAGAAAAGTCTTAAGGTGGAATTTAAAAGAGGTGGGGGGGAGTGGGGGTTCTGGGATTGAGTTCTAGAGATCAGGGATCACTTATGGTGGGATGGATAGGGTGGGAAATGTGAACAAAATCAATGCCGGGGCAGACTGAAAGCCTTTTGTAGTAATGACTGCTGAAGGTGTGTCCTGTGCCATACCCCACCACCCGAGCGAGATGCACTTATTCTGGCTACAGCCAATTTTTATATCATAAATACTCTCAGATGTATTGAATACTTCTCATATCCAGTCAATCACACCCACATTGAGGACAGCCTTAAATCCTCTAGATGTGAGTGCAATAATAATAGCTTTGTGACTCAGTAAAGCTGTAGAAATATAGAAACATAGAAACAGGATTGTACAGTTGTCCATCTCCACATCCAGATGTTTATTTGCAGGTTTACTCTGAAAACCCTCAGGTAACAGCACGATTAATTATTCACTCTGTGTTTGTTCAATCTGTAGATGTGTTTTGAGTCATTGAGGAGTTTGAATTGAAAGCCCGCAGAGAGAATCAAAGGAAAGCTTTGCCTTCAAAATCGGTTCATTCAGTCATTCCACCCATTTGCACGTGGCTCAGGATTACCCAGGTTTACATTATTTTAGGTAGTAACAATAAAAACTCTTGCATTTGTGGAGTCCTGTAGCATATTGGCTAGAGCACTTGCCTCACAATTGAGAGGATCTGGGTTTGATTACCAGGCAGGGCGAAACATCAGGCAAGTTTCCTTACACCACACGCCTCTGTTTACATAATAGTAAATAGGAACCCTGTTGTTATTCGACTGTTTTTTCTGAGTAATCCCTTCAAAAGTTTTTTTTTAAAAATTATAATTTATTCACTCAATCCACGACTGTTTGGGAGACACTGCTGAGCATCTGCCACATCTATGAAGTGCTTTCAGACATCTCGAAGATGTGAAAGGCCCTATATTGAATGCAAGTATATTTATTATTATTGATACAGCAGCTTATCATGTCTTCAACACGTCTCAAAACTCTTCACAGGATCTACTACAAAGTTCCATGACTGCGTATTTGTGGGTGAATGCGGAAATCAATTTGTGCACAACAATATCCTACAAACAGCCATATCCTAAAAAATGACCAAATATTATCTGTTGGTCTGGACACTGGGAGAAACTGCTTTCTCGTTTCCAATGTTAAGGCTTTGGCTTGCAACGTTAACTTTCCACATCTTCAGAGCCCCTCGTGTGGAGAAATACTTCCTGACTTAGTGCTGATTTTAAGGCTATGTCTCCAGTAAAGGATCCCTCTACCATGTGGAAGAGTTGTCCATTCTCAAACCTGACAATTTCTTTCACTATTTTAAATACCTCAATCAAATCACCCTTCAAACTCCTCAGTTCTAAAACCATAACCACACCTACCCAGCCTCTCATTAAAGCTAAGCTTTTTCAGCCCAGGCATTACTCTAATAATAATAATAATAATAATCCTTGCATTTGATATAGCGTTTTTCACGTCGGGAGGACGTCCCAAAGCGCTTCACAGACCACACTGTAAAGTGAATTGACTGTATATTTGTGGGCGAACGCGGCAGCCAATTGCGCACAGCAATGTCCCACAAACAGTCATAGATTGAAAATGACCAATTTATTATTGTTTTTGGTTTTGGAGGGATTATTATTAGGCTCTATGTGGAGTAAGGAAACTTGCCCAAGGTTTCGCCCTCTGCCTGGTATTGAACTCAGGTCTCTCGCTTGCAAAGCGAGTGCTCTAACCACTGAGCTACAGGACTCCAAACGAGCTGTTGCTGGATACCCTTTAAGGCTGATACATTCTTCCTCAGGTTGGGTGCTCAACACTCCAAATTAAGGTCTGACCTGCATTCTATATAACTGGAGAAACACCTCCTTACTTGTATAATCCAGACATCTTGTAATAAAGGTCAGCATCCATATCAGCATTGTTTTATTGACTGTTTTCTACAATGTAAATGCGGAACTTGATGTTCAATATATATCAATATCCTCACCAGGTATCAATAACAATTGGTGAATCAATCTTCATCTTAAAACTATGCTTGGGATTAGTATACTGTACTAATATAAATCTAAAATAGTTTATAATTCCCTTAACCTTTACTACCTCTCCCGTTGGACTGCCGAGATGCTAATTCACATCTTTACCACGTCCAGGCTTGACTATGCCAACACCGTGCTCGTCAGACTTCACAACAACAACAAATCACATTTTTATAGCACCCTTCATGCCGGGAGGATGTTCCAAGGCGCTGGACAGTCAGGATGTGATTCAGGTTGATGTGAAGGAAGATAGGAACAGGAGGAGGCTGTTCAGCCCTTCGAGCATGTTCTGCCATTTAATTGGATCATGGCTGATCTATACCTCAACTAATCCTTTCAATTCCAATTTCCTGCTTTCTCCCCATATCCCTTAATACCCCGACCTAC